TCGCCCTCCTGGCAGTGGGCGGGGCAGCGGTAGCAATGACAAAACTGGATATACCACTGATGAGAGCTCCTCCTCCTCCCTTCATGCTACTCGAACCTATGGGGGCAGCTACGGGGGCCGGGGCCGGGGCCGGAGGACAGGTGGTCCTGCCTATGGTGAGACACCTATGGGAGCGGGGGTGGGTGGGGGCCTTGTAGAGAGAGGCAGAGGTCTGGATGGACTCTTGGGGGAAAGCTGTGATAGAGATGATAAAGAGGTGATTGACTGGGGGAATGAGATAAAGAATTTTTCTGGTTTGGGAACTATGATGGATCCTGGGGTAGGATTAGTGGCCCTGACTAGATCCCACTGTGTTCTTCAGGCCCCAGCTCAGACCTGTCCACAGCTTCTGAGACTGAATCAGAGAAGAGAGAGGAGCCCCACAGACCTGGGCCTGGTGACAAGGATCCCCCAACCCGCGGGGAAGATAACCGGAGACGGCCGATTGGGGGCCGGGGTAGGGGACCCCCACCTGCTCCCCGGCCCAGTTCGAGATACAATTCTTCATCTATTAGTTCAGGTACCAGACAGCTGGGTTCATGAACATGGGTTGAAAAGGAAAGGTGATGGATACCTGAATCCCAACATATTTTCTTCCTCTGACCAGTGTTGAAGGATCCAGACAGTAATCCCTACAGCCTATTGGACACATCTGAACCAGAGCCCCCAGTTGATTCAGAACCGGGGGAACCTCCCCCAGCAAGTGCTAGACGCCGCCGTTCTCGCCGCCGCCGCACTGACGAAGATAGGACTGTCATGGATGGAGGCCTGGAATCAGATGGGCCCAACATGACAGAGAATGGCCTGGGTGAGAGCTATTCCTGGGGTCTGAAAAATTAGAGACAAATAAGAATTGAAGGATGGGCATGGGGCACAGTGGCTCATGGCTATAATCCTAGCACTCTGGGAGGCTGAAGCGGGTAGATCGCCTGAGCTAACTGGTTTGAAAATAGCCTGAGCAAAAGCAAGACCTCAGGTCTAAAAATAGCCAGGCATTGTGGCAGTCGCCTGTAATCCCAGCTACTCCGGAGGCTGAGGCAAAAGAATCACTTGAACCCAAGAGTTTGAGGTTGCTGTGAGCTAGGATGCCATGGTACTCTACCAAGGGCAACAAAGTGAGACTCTGTCTGAAAAAAAAAAAAATATATTGAGGGATGGGGGATTGGATGTGTGACTCTTATTTTTCCCTACCTAACAGAAGATGAATCTAGACCCCAGCGTCGTAATCGCAGCCGCCGTCGCCGTAATCGTGGTAACCGGACTGATGGTTCTATCAGTGGAGACCGTCAGCCAGGTCAGCTGACACTGGCCACCAGAATTCTTCCTCAGAGTTGAGAGAATGGGATGGCTTCTACCCTGTGAAAACCAGGGGTTGGGGTTCAATGGGTATGTTGGGCTGGCTATTGGAGTTCCTTCTGAAACTTGATCCTCTGCCTTCCCCAGTGACTGTAGCTGACTATATTTCACGAGCAGAGTCTCAGAGCCGCCAGCGGCCACCCCTGGACCGCACTAAACCTTCAGAAGACTCTCTTTCAGGACAAAAGGTAGGCAGGCAAGGTGTGATTTACCTTGTCCCTTTTTTCTTGTTATCCTGTGGCAGGACACAATAAAATTTCTAAAGAAATCTCTTACTAAGCTCGGCGCCTGTGGCTCAAGCAGCTAAGGCGCCAGCCACATACACCTGAGCTGGCAGGTTCGAATCTAGCCTGGGCTCGCCAAACAACAATGATGGCTACAACCAAAAAATATAGCTGGGCGTTTTGGCGGGCGCCTGTGATCCCAGTTACTTGGGAGGCTGAGGCAGGAGACTCGCTTGAGCCCAGGAGTTGGAGGTTGCTGTGAGCTATTAGGCCATGGCATTCTACCCAGGGTGATAGCTTGAGGCTCTGTCTCAAAAAAAAATAAAAAAGAAATCTCTTACTGGCTTAGTGCCTATAGCTCAGCAGCTAGGGTGCCAGTCACATACACCGACAACAATGACAACTACAACCAAAAAATGGTGATGTGGCAGGCGCCTGTAGTCCCAGCTACTTGGGAGGCTGAGGCAAAAGAATCACTTAAGCCCAAGAGTTTATGGTTGCTGTAAGCTGTGACACTATGGTACTCTGCCAAGGGTGACATAATGAGACTTTTGTTTCCAAAAAAAAAAAAAAATCTCTTACTGAATCACAGAGGTAACTGTGTCTAATGTTTAGACTGCATTTAAAATAGTGCACACTGGCTCGGCGCCTATAGCTCAACCGGCTAAGGCGCCAGCCATGTACACCTAAGGTGGCGGGTTCGAATCCCCAGCCCGGACCCGCCAAACAACGATGGCTGCAACCAAAAAATAGCCGGGCGTTGTGGCGGGCGCCTGTGGTCCCAGCTACTTGGGAGGCGGAGGCAAGAGACTCGCTTGAGCCCAGGAGTTGGAGGTTGCTGTGAGCTGTAATGCCATGGCACTCTACCCAGGGGAAAGCTTGAGGCTCTGTCTCAAAAAAAAAAATAAAATAAAATAGTGCACACTTTGAATAGACTAGAGAGGAAAGGTTGGTTCACTTTTTCTGGATCCTAGGAAGAGTGAGACTGGGGCATGGAGATCAAGGAACCAATCCCTGGATCACCAGATGCTATGAAGGCTTCAGTGGTAGAGAGTGTCATCCACCTGAATTTCTGTTGACCATCTGCCTTCTTTTCTCTTGATTTACTTTCCCACTTCCTCCTCAGGGTGACTCTGTCAGCAAGCTTTCTAAGGGCCCTGCGGAGAATGGAGAGCTCTCTGCCCCCCTGGAGTTGGGTAGTTTGGTGAATGGGGTTTCATAAAACCTCCAGCCTGCATCCCTCCCTTCTCCATCTCGCTTGCTGCCCAACACCATGGCCCTCACAGGCCCAACTGACCTGCGCTGGAGCTGCTCTTATCTAGGGGGGGAGGGGGGTGGCACAGCAGCTTGGGTCCCCCCCAACCTCCAGGAGCTATTGGAGGGGTGTGTAACAGGGTCATACCCCCCCTCCCTCTTGTCCACCCTACCCCAAGGGTAAGGGGAGCCTCTCTCCTTTCCCATCAGACTGGATGTGCCTTTATCCTCTAAGACCCCAATCTCTCTGAACACCCCCATTCTTCGCCTGTTGGTGAGGGGTGCTCCTTGACCCACCCAGATTTGACAGTTCAGGGGGGCTCCCCTGCTATCCCTCCTCCCATCCTGTACCCCTCATTTCTGGGGCCTCATCACTGTGGAAGACGGGGATAGTAAGGGTATACGTGGGTGGGAGGCATGGGGAAGGTTTTGGATTAGAACCAGGGGTGTGTATGAAGGGGGTGACAAGGTCCCCCAAGGGGAGGGGGGAAACTACCTTGTCTGGTGGATGAGAAGGCGTATTTATTTTTCACTGTACAGTATTTAAAGAGAATAAAAAATCCAAATGGCTCTCTGCTTCCTGTGCCTTCCTTGCCCCCAGTTTGGTCCTTTTGTTTCTCTAGGAGTGCCCGGCCCTGGCCCTTGGCCCCAGGCCCCTGTTTTCTTTTCCTCTATACCTTCTCATTCTTTAGTGATCCAGAGGTGGTCTATCTTCTGAAGATTCCTGACATTCCTAAATTCCCCAGGCCCAGGTACCCTTCTGGACCAGAGGACAGTGGCTTGTACCTTGTTTCTCCCCTCCCCCAGATTTGCTGGTAGAGGGCATTGGGCCAATCCTATACCTGAGTCACAGCAGAGGGCTAGGCGGGTCTGCTTAGAGCTGGAACTGTTCTTGAGAGCTGAGAGCCAAAGCTGGGCTGCTTAATCCGATTACCTGAGGCCTAGGGCTTGGGCTGGGCTTTGGGTAGAGTAGAGAGCAGGGTATCCTCACATCAGCTTCTGGAACCTGTGTCCAGCTGCCATTCCTTGTCATTGTTCTGGTCTGGCTCCAAGCATTTTTTCCAGCATCCACATTACAGAACTCTCAGCTCTGGGGAGTTGTCCTAGGTTTCCTAATTCCTCACTCCTGATTTATAGGTTGAGAGATAAAACTTGCCTTAATTCAATGGCTGTGGAGAAATCTAAGGTTTGGGAACTGGAGTTGGAGGGCTTACATTTCTCACCTGGGGAAAGAGGTTGAATCACCTACCAAGCACCTGCTGGAATGACTCAGGAAACAAAAATGGCCAACCCCCCTCAGCCTGACTTTCTTGCCCCAGGGGCAGGTCGGGGTTTGAGGTGCTATTGTCACCATTGAGGGAGTTGGGGTGGGTGGTGATGGTCCAAGTTCCTTCCTGAACAACTGACCCTCAGGGCACTTGATCCTTAGATGGAAAGGAATTGGCTTTAAATTGCCAAAGCTTAAGAAGGGAGGAGAGACATCCTGGCAACTGGGGCTGGAAGGCTTGACATCTAGGTCTTGGGTGGGCAGAGGGCGTGGTACCTTGAGGGGTAATGCTGGGAGCCAAGACACAGGACACCTGGGTTTGCCTAAGGGGGAGGAGGTTAAGTTGGCGCCCTTAAGGAAGCAGAGTCTTGTGGGAGGGACTGAGGAGGAGTCAGCCTTTAAAAGCTATTCCCGGTCCGGTACTGCCAGCTACAGACGTTGATCCCAGGTGAGAAGTCTGTGGCGTCTGTGCTTGGCAGCTGCGGAGACAACGGAACTAAGGTTTACGGTTTACTGCCACCACTAAAGGTCGGTCCGGTGGCACCTGTGGGTAGGGAGAGAGGGATGGGGGTCTGCTAGTTGCTAGACCTCAAGGCAAGAAGGAAAGGAGAGCACAACCTTTCCAGCACTGGGTACCAGACGCAGCGGATTTTACTATTCGATTGTCTCCAAAGTGTGCCGAATTAGTTGGAAGCAAAGGCTCTGTTTTATGGTCTGGACTTGGGGATGATAGATACTTTTTAAAGACTTGAGTTCTCCACAACGACTCCAGACTGGAAAGACACTTGGCATTTTCAGGGTTGCTGCTTCATTTTGAGGGGAGGGCATTCAGAACGCACTCTTAAAACTTACTCCAACCCATGGCGCTAGCCGGCTTCTCAGCGGACCGGGCCTGGAGTCTGGAGGCCCCGGCTTCCACGGCCACTGCCACCTCGACTTCGGAATCCCAGCAGCAGGAGGACGCTGGGAGCCAGGTGGTCCCCAGGGGACTCCCCCTGGAGAAGGTGAAGCGACCCATGAACGCGTTCATGGTGTGGAGCTCCGCCCAGCGCCGCCAGATGGCGCAGCAGAACCCCAAGATGCACAACTCAGAGATCTCCAAGCGCCTGGGCGCGCAGTGGAAGCTGCTGGGCGAGGACGAGAAGCGGCCCTTCGTGGAGGAGGCCAAGAGGCTCCGTGCACGGCACCTGCGCGACTACCCCGACTATAAGTACCGACCTCGACGCAAGGCCAAGAGCTCGGGCGCTGGAACTCCCCATTTCAGCCAGGGAAGAGTTAGTCTGGCCAGCGGCGGCCCCCTCTGGGGGCCGGTGTACACGACCACCCAAGCTAGCAGAGGCTTCGGATACAGACCCCCCAACTACCTGCCCGGCAACTACGGGTGAGTACTTGGGAGCAGTAATGCCAGAGGGCCTGGCTGAAGGGGTACCTGTGTCTGCTTAAGCTGGTGGGTGGGTACCTCACCTTGTTATTTCCAGGGCCCTATGTAGGGTGGAGTGGGTCTGGGTTTTCCCAGAGGGCGCTTCCATCTTAGCCTTGAGGTGGCAGCCCTGCAGAGGCAGGTGACAGACCCCTAGATGTGACTGGGTTTTGGTTATGTGGGTGCCCCATTTTCTCTCCTTTCTGGCCTATGTGACCAGGCTTCCTCTCCCAGCCTCCAGGGCAAGGAGAGGCCAGGCCGATTCTGCCCCTTCCTGGCCTGCAGCCCCAAGGAAAACAGCCACGCAGCACGCAAGTCAGCTAAGCCAGCTCTTGAGCATGCCCTGACAAGGCTATGCACTTTAGAGTATAAGCCGTCTTGCATCTGGTTCCATGCCTGTTGTACCTAGTGGAGCCAGGCAGCCAGGGCTGCGTGGGAGGCAAGTTCTCCTCAGCCCCAAACTAATCAGACCCCTCCCCAACTTGGGAGTTGCACCTCCAACCTAAGGAAGCACCCTCTAACCCCATGTTTCTCTCCACAGCTCTTCCCACTGTAAACCTGAGGCCCCGTCGACATGCTCCCTCTCTCAGAGTGACCCAAAGCTCCAGGGGGAGCTACTCCCTCCCTATAACCCCTACCTGCCCCCAGGCTCTCCCACTATGTACAACCCTCCCCTGTCTGGTGCCCCCATGCCCTTAACACACCTCTAACCCTCATGGACACACATTTCCCAGTAAGGTCCCCATTCTCTTTTCACCCAGAACTGTCCCCTACAGCAAAAGGTGCAAACCACGGTTAAAAGGAGGCACACAATCTATACTTTTTTGTAGAATTAAACACAATTTTATACGAATAAATCACGTCTTTTGAGTCTTTATTGTCCCATCACCATTTTTCCTCACTGCAGTGAGAAACAGTCCTGTCTCCACTCCCGTCTGGACCTGCCAGAGCAAGAACCTCCTCACCCCACCCTGGGGCCCTGCCTGAGTCATTCTCTGTCCCCCTTTCCCCGCCCCCAGCACTGGGGTCCAGGAGAAAGCTCCAACCAGGCTGGGGAAGGAGGTCACCACAACCCTTTGTCCCTCCATTCCACAGTCCAGGCTTTGTTTTCTATAGACAGAAGGGAAGTGGGGAGATGGGAGGAAAGGTAAGAGGTTTGCCCAGAATAGTGTTAAACAGCTGGAAAGTGTTGCTAAAGGAGGAACCTTGGCCAAATGATTAATGAAGAGTTAACAGTACAGGTACAGGAATCAGGCAAGCATTCCAATGTCAGAATGACAGTTTAAAACACTCCACCCATCTCCTTTTCTAAGGATCTGGATCCACCAACTATCCATTTTCACTAAAAGTAAATCTGGCTCAAGCTGCAACTGCAGAGGAATGGAGAGTAATTAAGTCACACCAGCAGAATGGCTCAGATGGGGAGGACCCTGAGGTTGAATGGGTGAATGGAAACACCGATGACTTCAGTAACTGGCTCTGCTCTACTGCGCTTTTTTCAGCTTGTGGGCAGGCTTTGCATTCCAGTAGTAGAGGAGCTGGGCAGCAATGAAGCCATTGCAGAGAGAGGAGACCACAAAGGTTCCAGCCAGGAGGGGGTCTCCAGTTTCCTGGTTTTAAGAGACAGAGCCAGGGTCACCTTCAGCATAGCCCAAGAAGGGTTCCCCGGCTTGGCGCCTCTGGCTCAAGCGGCTAAGGCGCCAGCCACATACACCTAAGCTGGTGGGTTCGTATCCCCAGCCCGGGCCCGCCAAACAACAATGATGGCTGCAACCAAAAAATGGCCAGGCGTTGTGGCGGGCGCCTGTAGTCCCAGCTACTTGGGAGGCGGAGGCAGGAGACTCGCTTGAGCCCAGGAGTTGGAGGTTGCTGTGAGCGTGATGCCATGGCACTCTACCAAGGGGGATAGCTTGAGGCTCCGTCTCAAAAAAAAAAAAAAAAAAAAGAAGGGTTCCCCTAGGAACAAAGGTTCCAGAGAGGGCAGCTTTAGCCCTTAGCTGGAAAAAGTAAGATGAGATTTTAGTGCCTTCTAAAAAGAAAGTGGTACACTCACCTGAATGGAAGTAAAGATTCGGGCCAGGGAGCCCCCAAACAGCAGAAAGACTGTGATAGCTGAGAGCTGACCTGTGTTCCCATTGTGGTAGTTGATGGCTGCCTGGAACAGCTAGGAGAGACTTTGAAACTTTTGATTCTGTCATCTGAGCATTCCCATGCTCCCATCACTGATTTCCCCTTTCCCCTTATTCCAATACCCCCACACCTCAGCCACCTTCTCTGTCCCTCTGCCCTCCCCGCCTCCCAATATCATTCCCTTTGCTCATAGTACCCACCCTCCCCACCACCACAGCAGGCACATTAGAAGCCTGCAGCAGGGTGACTACAGCCATGGGTGTCAGAGGTGAAAGCAGCACCAGCAGGATCAAGGCGTAGCAGGCTAGGAAAGCAACACCTGGAGGTTGGGAAGATAAGGAGTCCTTATCAACCTCTCAATGTCCTCCACCTTCCCAAGGCCTGAGTTCCCAGCAGGGTTCCCAGAAGCCACACAGCAGGCTCTTGGGTAAATCATCCGTACCTTTTACAGTCTGTGCTCTATAGTGCATGATCAGGAAGCAGATGGTGATTGTCTGGAGCATCAGGAACAGGGCTTCACCCCAAGAGCTGCAGAGTCAAGAGTTAGAAGGAATAAAGGTGGGCCTGGAAAGAGCCGGCAAATGCCTCCATAGCCCATCTATCTAGGGACACAATTCTCTGGTTACTTTGTCCTCCATAGTCCCACTTCATTCTGGATCCTGGGCATTCTTAAGATGCTCACTTCATCACCAACTAGATTTCTAAAAGGGCTAAGCTTTCCTGCCCCCTTTACCTCCCTCACTTAAGCTCCCAGTGAGGAGCATACCTTTAGGGATAAAGGGTGAGTCCCCTCACCTGAATGGGAAGTTGTTGGTGATACTGTAGACCATGGTCCCAGTCAATGCCACTAACTCCAGCATTACTGACTGGAGACTCAGCCCTTCAGCACTCTTGGCTCCCAGGATTTTAAAAATCTGGGGAAGCTTTACTGGGGAAAGGATGAGAAGGGCAGGGTTGAGGAGCCTCCATTCCTTGGGAATACAACAACAGCTACAGAAGTGTGTTAACCCATTTTCAATTAAGGGACCCATAAAGTTCATGGCCCCCATCCCAACAGCAGGAAAGAAAGATACATACCCAGAAGTGACCCAGCCACAATGCCCAGCCCTAGGCCTTTGCTGAGGAGAATCTTGAGGCAGGGGACTGAGAAGAGAAAAAGGGTTAAGCAGAGACCATACCTCTGAAATCCAGGCCAAGGCATGAAGTCTATGGGCTGCTCCCAAGCCCCACCTCCCTGGAAGGTGGTGAGGGGAGGGATAAATAGCCTGGTCCTTTATTTTCTGTTTACTCTTAGGACTAGAATACTTACTTTCTACTTTTTTTTTGCAGTTTTTGGCCGGGGCTGGGTTTGAAACCACCACCTCTGGGATATGGGGCCCGCGCCCTACTTCTTTGAGCCACAGGTGCTGTCTTTTTTTTTTTTTTTAAAGAGCGTCTCACTTTATCACTCTCTGTAGAGTGTCCTAGAGTCACAGCTCACAGCAACCTTCAACTCCTGGGCTTAGGTGATTCTCTTGCCTCAACCTCCCAAGTAGCTGGGACCACAGGCGCCCACCAAACTGTAGCAGTTTGGCCGGGCCGGCTTTGGGCCCGCCACCCTCAGTAGAGGGGGACACCACCCTACCCATTGAGCTACAGGCACGGCCCAGGACTAGGATACTTTTTTTTTTTTTTTTTTTGAGACAGAGCCTCAAGCTGTCTCCCTGGGTAGAGTGCGCTGGCATCAAAGCTCACAGCAACCTCCAACTCCTGGGCTCAAGTGAGTCTCCTGCCTCAGCCTCCCAAGTAGCTGGGACCACAGGCACCTGCCACAATGCCCGGCCATTTCTTGGTTGCAGCCTTCATTGTTGTTTGGCAGGCCTGGGCTGGATTTGAACCTGCCACCTTAGGTGTATGTGGCTGGTGCCTTAGCCACTCGATCCACAGGCGCCAAGACTAGGATACTTTCTAAAACAGACTTAACCACAAATGCCTTCCCTCCCATCCAATCTTTCATTCCCTACATCTAAACTCCTTGACTTCCAAGATTCTCCATTGCTTCCCTGTTTAAAGTAAGGAAGGCCCAAGAATCCTCTGGGCACCGGGGCAGCCCACTTCGCCCGTCTCCTCCAAAGACAGGTCTCCAAAACACTCATTCCTAAGCCCTTTTGATTTACCCTGGCGCCTTACTCAGGGACTTTACCCTTTCAGGACTTGTTTTTATGCCCTGGCCACCCACAACTTCTCTAGCCTTGAAGCCTTTCCCTCAAGGATCTTGGCTCAGTGTTAGTCAGACTCACAGGTCGTGAATGTAGGTAAGAAACTAGCCCCCAAAGCTCAGGGGAGATGCCAAGAATTGAGAAGGGCAGACTGAGGAGGCTTCCCAAAGGGTTTGATGTTTGAGATGGACTTTGCCTAGAGGTGCTCCACAAATACAAACAAGAAGGAAGACAAATTATCCCAAAATTAAACCATTAGCAAACGTGGAGGCTGGAAAGAAAACAGTCAGGGTGGCAACAGCAATTGAGTGTGCTAAGGGCCTTTTTCACCAGGGGCTTTGAATGAAGTAATCCTGCTAGCGATCTAATAAAGGTTGAAATTATTTGACCTGATTGTTATTTTGTCTCGCAAAAATTTGAGTCTTTCCGTTTCTCGTTGTTGCTAAAGCCCAAACTTCACAAATTCCTTCCGTCAGCGGCTTTTCCCTCTTGCCCAAATATGGCATCCTCCCTTTAGGAAGAGAGACACTTCCGCCCCTCTCAGAAGCCAACTTCCGCCCAGCTCGGAACCGCAGCAGTTACCGTTGTCATTTAGTCCCCAGTCACGCCTTAAACGAATGATTCGCGGTTGTTCGAGCAGGGCTTGGATCGGATGCTGAACAAAACTCACCGTGAAGCAAGTCCCACTGGACGAAAAGTTGGTCGTAGCATTTCTCAGGTAAAAGAATCGGCACCAGGAGCCGTTTGAGCGGTGCGTCTGCCTCAGCCGCCATATTGGAAGTATAACTTCCGCCAGTCTCTCCAGACCGTCATTGCCTATCGCTGGCGCATGCGCGACCCGGCACTCCTCTTCTTTTCCCGCGACGAAGCTGACCCGCCACCTGTTCGCCACTCTATCTTCCGCCACTCCAGCTTCAATAACGTGAAATAGGTCTCATTCAGAGACCACGTTTTGGAGGTTCTCCCTTGTTCGAATTGTGGAGCTGTACGCCTGCGCAGTTAGACCTTCCGTGCTTTTATTGACGCTTCCAATTCGGAAGCAAGATTTATCCTGCCTTTCTTTGCTCTTCCTGCTGGGCGCCATCTTGTCTTCTGTACAGCCAGCTTTATATTGTTCGAATTTGAGAGAGAAGGAGCGCGATTCTCCAAAATGGCGTTGATTGGGGGTGCTGCAGGTTTCTTTCTCCCGTTCTTTCGGCGCCTCCAGAGGGTACAGCGCCGGCGGGAGCATGACAGTCTGTGCTGGGCAGCACTTTAGGTGCCGGGCAGCAGGCACCCACTTTGGAAGAGGGATGCAATAGTAACTGCTGGGACTGGGACAGTGAAGCAAGAGAGGAGGTGGGGGAGGCGAGTCCAGCTCCGAGGGAGACAGCCCTTGAGTCACCACTTGGGACGCGGAGCTGGCATTCTCCATGAAGCCCAGGCCTTGGCTTTGGCCTGCCGTGTCAACCTTGGGTACTCGTGTCAACCCTACCTCACTGACCCGAGGGCACACCACGTGCTCAGCGCAGACTTCAGGAAGGCTGAGTAGGCCCAAAAAGCTCTGCTTGGGAAAGGACACCTTCCACTACTTGGCACTGCCTTCCACCCCGCCACCCAGTGCCAGGATGCCAACCCAGGTTGCTCTATCCTACGCCTTAACAGTGCTTGGGTGGCTCCTGCTCTGCAGTTTGCAAGATCATAGGGTATGTCTGCGGTGTGGCTGCCTTAGTGGGGTGCGTCTGTAAGTCAGGCTACAGCTATAAGTCAATCAGCCTAGCCACACCCCGTGATTGCATCATAGCTTGCTGAAAACAGTGGCATTAGCTGGCACTCAGTATTAGTACGGACTGTGGCCATACAGGAGGCCCTTTCTATAATTCTACACGGGCTTCTATGGGAGTGACACTGTCTCTCTCCTCCCCCTCATAAGGTACTGGGGATGTCAGGGTTGGTTTGGTGAGTGACCCAAGCTAGAGGGCAAGCTGTTGTTAGGAGCACAGAGGGTAATTGTGTGTGTGTAGATCAGAGTACGCCATACTTTGGGGGTTGATGCAGCTTGTCCCAGGTGGGCTAGGGGCATCCCAGGTCCAGCAAAGGTTAAATCAGGCTTCTCAGCTAGCTTGGGACACAATTGACAGGGTAGACGTTCTCATTGCTTGTGGAAATGAAAGTCCACAGGCATTCAATTGTTGGTGCCTGCAATTGTGTAGGGGTGGGAAAAGACTGCTGGGATGGGTGACTCCACTGCTTGCTGGAGAGGGGGAACTTGGAGTAGCTGGAGGCCCCGGAAAAAGAAGGGGGAAGGTACACCTCAGACAACACCAGCTGTGCCACACACATTGGGTCACACATTGACAATGTTGTTTTTCCCCAGTTGTTTCTGGCCCCTGAGACTCTCACCATAGAAGGCACAGAAAGGCATTTAACAAGAAACCCATAGCTTTTAATCCTGGTAGGACAAGGGAGCAAGGACAAAGATTTGAGTAGGTTTCACTACTCTCCTACTGAGGAGAGGGAGGGGAGATCTCAGATATTTAATAAAAATCTCCCTACCTCCCTCCTAATTATATTATCTCTATTTTTTGTTCTTCAAGAAGACAGGGAAGAAAGATAACTTTGTTTTTGAGTCAGTTGCATAGTGAGGAAATGATGTTCCTTAGTGCCCTGAAGTTGGGGCAGATGCTCAGAGAGGTTGGTAAGTGGATGGACGTCTCCGGACGATGCAGAAGGCAACAAGCACCAGGATGAGGAGGCCGAGGAGGATCAGGCCAATGATGACAGGCAGCAGGATGGATCGGTCACTGGGACAAGAGAAACCTGGCAGAAGTACAGGGCAAGTGAGCATTGCAATATAGTGGCTAGCATAAAGGCAGGAGGAGGGAGGAATGTGGGGAGGCCTTGGGGAGCAGAAGACTGGTGAGAAGTTCAGCACAAAGTCTCTGAGAAGTAAATACACGAGAAAAGTGAGTAGAGGGCAGCGCCTGTGCCTCAGTAGGTAGGGTGCCAACCTCATATACCAAGGGTGGCGGGTTCAAACCCGGCCCTGGCCAAACTGCAACAAAAAAATAGCCAGGCATTGTTGCGGGAGCCTGTCGTCCCAGCTACTCGGGAGGCTGAGGCAAGAGAATTGCCTAAGCCCAGGAGTTGGAGGTTGCTGTGAGCTGTGTGACGCCACAGCA